AATAAGAACGTCCACAAATAATGGACGAAAGTTTAGAATGTGAAACCCTGAGACTGAAATCAACATCTTATATTTCAGAAATTACTCATTTGGAATGTGAATATTTCCGGAGGATAAAATACTCGGTACTATGTAATTACATCACAAGACTTTTCGTTTATTTTTTTATTCTTTAATCGAGCGACCACTAGATGGTGCAATCACATTGCTACGAGACAACGTTAAATGGTGTAGTGGTGGTTCTACGAGACAACGTTTGCTAATAATTTTGAAACAATTGAGCTTACACAAATAAACAAGAACACAGCGGTATGTTTGCAAGCGTATACCGCTAGAAACCGGGTTTCGATACCCGCGGGGGGCTGAACACGGATAGCCCTTTGTGTAGCTTTGTGTTTAATGTCAAATAAACAGTTGTATAATCTGCTAATCTAGACAGCCGTTTAGGTTTTTATTCGATAACGTAAGAAGTTTACAAATTTATTAGACGTTTTAATAAAATCTCATTATTTATTGATATTTTAAATTTAAAGTTTCGCCGTGTACTAAAGTCTAAGTTCAAGCATTTTTTTTAACACGATACTAGTATAAGAAACAGCATAAAAAGACAGTAGAGAAAGTTGGCGAGAGTCGTTTAAACCAATCATTGTTCACGTAGTCGTATGAAAGAAAGTTTTTTTGTTATACGACAGAGTTTTTATGAATAGCTCTTGAGCGCTGTCTGCACCTTCTGTAAGTCCCCTAGTGGCGTTCTAAGGAATACTTAGACAGCAGCTGTCGGCTTGTCTGGAAACTGGTAGTTTAATTGTAGCTGTTTTCTACTGTCCCCCTTTCCCAGGTCCTCTCATTTTTATTCCTTGTTTTTCTGACGTTTACCACCGGCTCAAGTTTCTCTGTTCTGAGACCGGAAGTATTAACTAGTGATCTGCCAGAAAATTCTTCTTCGTGACGTTTAACAACATTTTTTCTATATTTTTATATATAATACAGTTTGTAAAACGAAGTTTCTAAAAGAGAAACTCACAAATATCGAGAATTTAATGTTATCAAATTTCTTTAATGATAAACTGAACAGTTCATTCAGAAACATCTTATCATAGCTAGATCGGTAACAACTAAATCGGTAACAACTAGATCGGTAACAACTAGATCAGTAACAACTGAATCGGTAACAACTAGATCAGTAACAACTGAATCGGTAACAACTAGATCAGTAACACCTAGATCGGCAACAACTGAATCGGTAACAACTAGATCAGTAATAACTGAATCGGTAACAACTAGATCAGTAACAACTAAATCGGTATTAACTAGATCAGTAACAACTAAATCAGTAACAACTAGATCAGTAACAACTGAATCGGTAACAACTAAATCGGTAACAACTAGATCAGTAACAACTAAATCAGTAACAACTAGATCAGTAACAACTGAATCGGTAACAACTAAATCGGTAACAACTAGATCGGTAACAACTAAATCAGTAACAACAAAATCGGTAACAACTAGATCAGTAACAACTAAATCGGTAACAAAATCGGTAACAACTAGATCAGTAACAACTAAATCGGTAACAACTAGATCAGTAACAACAAAATCGGTAACAACTAGATCAGTAACAACTAAATCGGTAACAAAATCAGTAACAACTAGATCAGTAACAACTAAGATCGGTAACAACTAGATCAGTAACAACAAAATCGGTAACAACTAGATCAGTAACAACAAAGTCGGTAACAACTAGATCAGTAACAACTGAATCGGTAACTAGATCAGTAACAACTGAATCGGTAACAACTAAATCGGTAACAACTAGATCAGTAACAACTAGATCAGTAACAACTGAATCGGTAACAACTAAATCAGTAACAACTAAATCGGTAACAACTAGATCGATAACAACTGAATCGGTAATAACTAGATCAGCAACAACTAGATCAGTAACAACAAGATCAGTAACAGCTAGATCAGTAACAACTAGATCAGTAACAACTAAATCAGTAACAACTGAACCGGTAATAACTAGATGAGCAACAACTAGATCAGTAACAACTAGATCAGTAACAGCTAGATCAGTAACAACTAAATCAGTAACAACTAGATCAGTAACAACTAAATCGGTAACAACTAGATCAGTAACAACTAAATCAGTAACAACTAGATCAGTAACAACTAAATCAGTAACAACTAGATCAGTAACAACTAGATCATTTAACAACTAAATCAGTAACAACTAGATCAGTAACAACTAAATCAGTAACAACTAGATCAGTAACAACTGGATCAGTAACAACCTTTCGTTATGAATAACTTGGCAGCTAAATCAAAAGTGAAAAACAAAACAAAATAAACATTAAAATTTTTTTACCCGATATTATATTAGTTAAGTTAATTTTCTTTACCCGATATTATACTACTTAAGGTAATTTTCTTTACCCGATATTATATTAGTTAAGGTAATTTTCTTTACCCGATATTACACTAGTTAAGGTAATTTTCTTTACCCGATATTATATTAGTTAAGTTAATTTTCTTTACCCGATATTATATTAGTTTATGATGTTGTTTGTGTTGTTTATGATGTTGTTTATGATGTTGTTTACGTATTGTTTATGTGTTGTTATGATGTTGTTTATGTGTTGTTATGATGTTGTTTATGTGTTGTTTATGATGTTGTTTAAATGTTGTTTATTTGTTGTTTATGATGTTGTTTATGATGTTGTTTATGTGTTATTTATGTGTTGTTTATGATGTTGTTTATATGTTGTTTATGATGTTGTTTATATGTTGTTTATGCGTTGTTCATATGTTGTTTATGTGTTGTTTATGATATTGTTTATGATGTATATATGTTTATATGTTGTTTATGATGTATATATGTTTATATGTTGTTTGTATGCTTGGTGTAGCTCACGTTACTTCACTCAGTTTGCTGTGACTCACATTACTTCACTTAGCTTGGTGTAACTCACGTTACTTCACTTTGCTTGGTGTAACTCACGTTACTACACTTAGCTTGGTGTAACTCACATTACTTCACTTAGCTTGATGTAACTCACGTTACTTCATTTAGCTTGGTGTAGCTCACGTTACTTCACTTGGCTTGGTGTAACTCACGTTACTTCACTTAGCTTGGTGTAACTCACATTAGTTCACTTAGCTTGATGTAATTCACATTACTTCACTTAGCTTGGTGTAACTCACGTTACTTCACTTAGCTTGGTGTAGCTCACGTTACTTCATTTAGCTTGGTGTAGCTCACGTTACTTCACTTGGTTTGGTGTAACTCACGTTAGTTCACTTAGCTTGATGTAACTCACGTTAGTTCACTTAGCTTGGTGTAACTCACGTTGTTTCATTTTTTTCATTTAACTAGTTATAACTCATAATTAGTGTATCTTTCTACTCTGTGTAAATTATCAAAGTAATAATATACATACATATATATAAATAATTATAATACTATAAAATATATTAATTTTAAACAGGCAATCAAATCAGCTCTATATAAAAACAATGAAATTAAAGAACTAAAAAACATTCGTAAAGATTTTTTTCATTATCAACATCATTAACTCATATCGAAAAATATCTGTGAGAAAAATAGCTGAGAAACGTGTTGAGGATATTTCATCTATCAGTTAAGATTTAAACACAGATGTTGTGGATTAAACTTTTGAGTTTAATCTAGTAAACTTGACACGATAATGTACAGTTAATGTATAAAAGTATTAAAATTATAGTTGTGGGTTCTTGTTTAATATACTTTTCAAGGTTTGTTGACAGTCATTAATGCTAGACACACACATATATCCCTACCTAAAAATTATATCAACTTATGTTTTATTTTCTTACTATTTTCAAGACAAATAGGTAGTTATAAAAATTAAACATACTTAAAAAAGTCTTTATTTGTTATACTATTTTTAAAAAAAAACATTGGTATTCACAATTTCTATTTCCCTAGTATGATAAGAGCATGTAATTAAGTTTTCTGTGCAATATCTTTTGAAAGTAGTAATTAAAAATACATTTCACTTAAAGAGAATATACTAGATTAATTAATATACAACATTAATGTCATTCTGTTCTTCTACTACACGTATTTTTGTTGTAAAATAATAAATAGGAAAACCACTACTTAACAATGAGTTCAATTTCAACATATATTACTTCCATACTTAATAATAGTTTCATTTTCCGTCGCTAGATGGAAGCCCTCAATGTTTTTATATCACGACACTTTGGGACTTTCCATCCCACAAACATGATATGTGTCGCTAAAAATAAGTAAATAAGTATAGAATTATCTAAATTAATATGCAATGCATCAATCAGCTGAAGTCTTTATGAAACTGAAAGATCTGTTATCGATGTCTCGATTTACTAACACCAGTTTCTTAATTATCAAAACAATACATGAAATAGTGGTTTTCTTTTCATCAAACCTGGGAAAATCGGAGATTCGATATTGGAACAATTGTTTCGAGACTGAAAAGATCGGATTCGATATCAGTTCTGCAGTTCGTCTTGTTACTCGAGTGTGGTTCGTTTAGGTCGAGTGTTTTTGACAGTTATTACTTACTTACTTGTTTATTACTTTTCATTTGTGTATTTGTGTCCATGCATTCTGGGTTGCCTCAAATTGTTGAGCGCCCAACTATGTCGGTTCAACCGGGTCAGTCGCCTCGTCGTGTTCGTCCGAAACCTTATTCCCGACCCTCGGAGGGTGTACCTCGGAAGCCTGCAACCCTTGGTGTTTCTTCATCCTGAGCCGACTGCTTGGACTCTTCAACTACTAGGGATGTCCCGCGACTGTCGTATGCTGCCGTTGCCTCACCGTCGTCCACTGCTTCAACTACCTCTACTGTCTCCTGCTGGTTCTACTTCGTCTGCCGCTACCACTGTTACTCAGTCCATTCCTGCCTCCACTCTATCCGGCTATTCTGGTGAAGCGCTCGGACCTATGGAAGCTACTAAAGCTCCTCAGATTACTATGCTCCTACTTTCGGGCATGGATCCCCCGTATTTCTCTACCAGGACTCGAACTTTCTAAATACTGCCTTCGTTCTGACGTTCTATCAACTAAATTCCTAACAACAAATAGGTATAATTGTGAAACTAGGTAACCCTACCAATTGTGTGATATATTGTGTAACAAAATAGGCGTTGTCTTA